TTTTTTTTTTTTTTTTTTTTTTTTTTTTCATTCTTTGTTGCTTTGATGACTTATGTTTCCAGTGCTGCACGAAAAAATTGAAACTCGCACACACTTTTGCTGAGGCTTGTACATGCATGCTACTATTCCCAGGATCACCTGACTCAGGCAAACTATGAACGCCCAGGCCTAAAGCATGGTTTTGAAACATGACCTTTTCTTTCACTTTGGAGCTGACCTAGTCTGTGCCTCCTATCAGACCTGTTTGGTCTGATTTATGTTTATTTGAAAGTCTCCTTGTGCTTACAGAGAACACTGTATTGTATTGATTTCCTTTCAAAGGCAAATCATTATGGAAAAAATATGGTTTGTATCTGGGTTTGGAAAAATAAACTATCAAGTTAATTTTTTCTGTTCTGGTTAATGTTCATTGATTTATTACTCTGCAGTTAGGCAAGTTCACCACTTATACTTCTATTGGTTATCTTGGATTCATATCCCTTCCTCTGCATAATCATGGCTTGCCTTATCTAAACTATAGACTGCACTATCAGGTAATTAGTGATAGCACAATGCAAAGAGTTGAACTGTTGACAAGAACAAAGTTACCTAAAGTGATGACGGCATCAGTTTACTCATTATAAATATCTTTATTGAACAGTTACACCATAATTAAAACTGAGCTCTGCACACAAACATTTTCATTCAAATATATTCCTTTCTAACCACAAAGCATATACATTTACTTTGTGAGCACCAAATGTCTTTACAGATCGTATGTTGTAAAAGTGTGACATCACAAAGATGTATATGGTCTGTGTGGAGAGGAGAATTGTGGGAGGGACCCAGAAGGGCCACTCACTACAGGCTACCTGCAGAAAACTACACAAGGGGGCAGATACAAGACCAGTTACCCTGCACAAGGAGACAGAACATTACCGACTTGTCTGTTATTACAGGAAGCTCCAGCACAGAAGTCAGTTTCCCACGGGATTACTGTACAGATCTGGAAGAAATGCACAAGAAATGCACACATTTAGGTTAGTTCTTGATGAACTGGCCGAAATTTGCACAATGGGTGCCGCAGTCTGCACCCTTCCACCTGGCATCCCTCAATCAGCTGATTTGAAGGTACAGGTTGGAAAATTCTTGGCCGAACAGAGCTTGCAGCCTATCAGTTGTTCTAGAATACCCTGTTTTGCCTGGCGTTGTGCTTTAAATATGATTGACAGTCTAGTAGTCAGTGGGGTTTTTTTCCCCAGTGACTGTTCAAACCTCATTTCACAACACTTCCAAATGAAGCGTGTTTGACCCCTGGGGGCTTCTGATAGATCATATGGAAATAGTCAGGAACATTTTAATTTTTATTTTAACCCCTCATAATATGTCAGACTAGTTCTTAATAAAACCCTGTCTGATCTCTGCTGAGAAAACCTCAGTCTCAGATCTGTCAAATGTTTACTGTCTGCCTGGTAGAGTCAGTGGTCTGTTTACACTGTACACACGTTTAGGCTGGGTTCACACCCAGGCGTTTTTCCGCGCTTTCGTACTCGCGGAAAAATGCTCAAACAGGGAAATGCCATTATTTTCAATGTGCATGGTTCCCATCTGGGCGGTTTTCCGCGAGTACGAACGTGCGGGAAACCGCCCTACGCCCAAAGAAGTACATGTACTTCTTTGGGGCGTTTTGGTCGGGCGGTTCCATTGGGATACAGCCAAGTATCCCTCGGAAACGCGCGTTTTTCGCCGCAAATCGCGGTAAAAAAAACGCGCGAAAAACGTGCATATTCAATCCGCCTAGGTGTGAACCCACCCTTAAAGTTGTCACACAGCTGCATCTGGATCATCTTACCATCAGATTTATTGAAGTGAATGTGGGTATGTGTATATGGTGGCCACAACTGGCAACAAAACAAATTTGTTTTTATTGGTGTATGCTGTGGGCCTCATCCTGGCTTTAATACCTACTGAGTCATTGACAGACAAAATGTATGCAGCCAGTGAAGTCTAGTCCTCCAAGTCTGCTTTAGGTCCGTGACTACCTCAGGGGTGAGCAACTCTAGCCCTCCCACTGTGCTTTAAGTACAAATCCCATCTTGCCTCTGGGAGTCATGCCTGTAACTGTCATTCTTGCAATGCCTCATGGGACTTCTAGTTCCACAACAGTTAAGAGGGCAGCAGTTGCTCACCCCGGCACTAGATGGTAAAGTCGGGATAACAAAAAACCCCTAGCTCCCATGTTCCTATCCCATCTTTAAATGGTTTCCTTATAGGTCAGTTGGCTAAGATGCAGAAGTTGGTTAATATGTCAGTTGGCTAAGAAGATTGCAAGTGCCAATATTTTTCCTATAGTTTCTTATGGCACAGTTGTTTAAGTCCTCAAATAAAAGAATTTATCAAGTTTGCCCCTGTTCTATTTTCCAAGTGAGCATAGATTTTATTTTATTACTAATTCAGACCTTCTCAGTTATTATGGAATAGTTTTAAACTATATTTGTACATTAGGGCATTCATATTGTCTCATAATATATTCACGAAGTACATCCTCCTTAGTGGTAACGCACAATCGTACTGTACTTTGCTGCTCCTTTAACCTCGGAACAAATTGATATACTGAGCACAGTAAAGAGACTTCAGTATTCAACAATGTACGCCCTGTGTAGCTTATCCTGTCACTGACGTTTTATTGATGTCATTTAGCAAGATGCTGGTTGTATTGTCTGACCAAGAAATGCCAACAAATTTGCATATAAAATTGCATCATAGAAATGTATCACAGCATGTATTCAAAGATGGTAAAAGTGACTTCAGTGGTAACTACAATAGTAACTTAGAATGAGTACTGCTGCTCTTGCACACCACTCAGTGGTCCAAGTCTCCAGGGGTAGAAAAAGCCCTTGCACAGTGCTCCAGTTAACAGTACCCACATTCCCTAAGCAGTGGTGCAGCAAGGTTTAAAATACTCCATGCAGGCAGCACGCAGGAGAGTCGGACTGCTGCTCTCTCCACACCACACAGTAGTCCAGGTAGGCACAGTGCTCCAGGTTTAAAATACTCAATGCAGGCAGCATGCAGGAGAGCCAGACTGCTGCTCTCATACACCACACAGTGGTCCAAGCCTCCAGGGGTCAGACAAGCCATTGCACAGTGCTCCAGTTAACAGTGCCCATGCTCCATAAGTAGTACATGGGGTGTGTTGGGCCCCTGGAGAACCAGGCCGATGAGTTGTGAGAGCGCAGCGGTCTGGCTCACCAGCCTGCTACCAGCACATGGTGATGTTAACCCTTGCTGCAGCACATAGTAAACAAAAAAGCACATTTATTACTGTGTATGCAAAATGACTGCATTACAGTAACAGAAAAGCTCCATTGGGAGTTAAAACCCATGATCATACATGTATTTTAACTGTGTGTTTAGCTGTTTGCCTGGCATTGTGCTTTAAACATAAGAATGTATATGCATCAATTTTCCACTGTGTTTGCATTGCAGGCAATTCAGAGACTGCTATATTGTGTGCATACATTGGCGCATTAAAGACTATATCCATGCACTCACATGATAAAACCAGTAAGAAAAAAATGTCTCAAGTCAGAAAAAATACTTTTCATCTGCTATACTGTGTTTGGAAAATGGTCACATGTTGGTTTTTTTTCACGTGGGGATTGCATTTGGTGTCTTCTGTGATTTTAAAAGACCAGTTTATTTTTAGGTATTTTTTAAATTTAATTTTCTTTCATTCCCTGCAGAAATCGGATCCACGCCCACTTGCAAAGTTCTTTTATATTGACGAGGAGGTAAATGCAATCGTTCATGAGCTGCAATGCCTGGATGTGCGGAAGGACCCACAGAACTATCTGGTTCTGCTCAGTCAGCTGCACAACAGTCAGGTAACTGTGGTTGTACTGCCTGGTAGATGTAGTGTGTGCATGATACGTGAGATTACATTGTAATATGTAAGGGGGTGTCTTTATAATTTTTCAAAGGTATAAATGTTAAGTGATGTACCAGAAATTATGAATGCAGCTACCCAGGGTCTTGAGTGGTAGTACAAGTATAGGACAACCCGAGCATGTATTCAATGACAACAGTGCTAATCCACCAAACCAACTGGCCTAATATGGTTTGAAAGAGAATAATACAGAGGTATAGAAGAGAACCCAGTGTAAGAGTACTGCAGAGAGGGGAATCGGGAAAAGGTGGGGGATGCTATCTCTGGCACTTCATTGAACCCATATAATCCCCCAAGAAAGAGGATACACCCTCAGTTAGGCATCTTTTCATGTTTTCTATTCTTGTAAATAATTTCAAAGGGAATGCATGCTGCTTTTGCCCACCTACACAAGCCCTTACCTACACACCATGGTAGCAAGCATAGAGATTTTTGAACTACCTACCTACTGACTAGTCTAGTTTACAAAAAAGTGTTGGCAATAACAGAGAAACCCACACCCTCTGGTTTACCTTTCTACCAGAAAATGTTAAAAAATAAATCAAATGAAAACTATTTTACTATCTAATTACCCATTTAATGTGGGTCTAACTCTGTTGGAATTACCCATTCAGATGTTAAAATTGAGGGTTGCCATCAGTAGAGTACCGTGCTTTGGCTCCCAATAATCTGGTTGAACTTGACTCCATTTTGGGAAATGTAAGCTACGATGATTTGGTAGGGGATCCCATACTGTTTGAGTTTTTCCTCTATGAAATACAGATCTAATGTCCTTTTCAAGTTTTAAGCAATTTAGCATAGTGTCTGCATGCTTATGGCTCTCTTGCTAGGAATATCCAAGGATACCTGAGTGCTAGATTTGTATCTTATCTGTTCACTTATCTATAATTTTGGAGTAAAGTTGCTGGAAAAGCTCAATAAGAAGGCTAGCAAGATCCCAACCTGAAAGGCATGGGAACCTTAAAGTAGGGCTAATGGGTCAAAATGTGGATTTGCTTGTTGGTGGGAAAATCTTCCTGCTTGCTTTGGCTCCCTTTTTAATATGGTAAGCCAGTGGAATCCCAACACAACCTACTTAACATGTTGTGGCTTTTTTTACTTTAACTGTAGGAGCGAATGCTTACCCTTCTGGAACAAATTCTGGAGCACTGTGTACCCACAAAGAGGAGGCAGAGAGATTATCACCTCAAGTTCCCAGATGACCTTGTAAATGATACCATGACCACTCACCTCCTGTTTGCAGCAGAGGTATGTCTATTTAAGCATTTATGTATTATTGACTCTTTAATTTGATCATCATCAATATTATTGTTTATTACTAAATCTGTGGTCTAATTGTTTAGCTGATCATAGGCGGCACATATGTAGAAGTAGAAGAAGCAGATGGTGTGTTACTTCGACCTCTAGCACAGAAGCTGTTACGCAGCTTGGAAGATCTGCGGCGGATTCTAAGAGAACAAAGTCTAGAGGATCCCGGCATTTATCCCGAAGCAGCTCATGAGGCACTGCTAGAGTATGATAACCTGTGTGCCGAGTTTGAACTCAGGTGTGTATGTTTTGGGTAGATATGTCTAAATATGGCACACAGCCTGCTGAAATGCAATATAAGAGAAGGCATGTAAGTGTAAACAAAAGGTAAACCTTTAAAAAATGAATAAACTGATAGCAAACTAGCTCGGTTATTCTATGCTTCCCTAAGGCCGCGTCCACACTGAAATTACAGGCACGTTTGGAGTGTTTTTATTTGTGCACTTTTTTTCCAGGCTTCAGTGTTTTTGTTTAAGCCAATGGAAAGCAAGATAATAGTAGAAGAAGCTGCTTCACAAGCTTTGACAAATGCTTATTTTTGAGGCGTTTTTAGGTGTTTTTCAAGCTTTTGCATTGAAGCCTATGTGGCCAAAATGCCCTATTGTGCTTTAAATGTAGCTTGTGTACCTTTTTTGATCTTCAGGCATTGAGCTACAAGGCATCTGAGTGCGAATACTTGAACAGATACAATTTAAAAGCATGGAATTTTGGTTGTTGAGAGTTTTTTTTAGCTTTAATCTACAAAACAGGTGTGAATCAGGGCTAAAAGTAAAGCAGCAACATAAGAAAACCACTTGACAGATTGATTGAGTCTTACCATTTTTCTCCTTTTGCTGTCTTTGGTATACAAACATGAACTATCTTCTCATGTCTATATTTTTTTTTGTCTTTGTTCTTCATGCAAAGAATAGGGTAACCTTCTGGCTAGCTCGCTCTCGGTTTATTAATAGCTATAAACATTCATAAATTCGGATACATACAAATTTCATTCGAAACGCAACAAGCGGGAGAGCTTTCATTTACTGCTCTGTGTCTTCTCTGACTTGTATCCTGAATGAAAACAAAGTAACACAATATTGTTACAAAATGTATTCAAAGAAAGAAGCTGAGAGATCTGTGTTAGTCTGTAACAGCTTCTGCTTCTTTACGGGCACTTTCCTCCCTAATGTAAAGAAACCGACAGTATATTATAATTTTATACATATAATTATGCAATATGATTGGAAATATTGCAACTTGCCAGTTCTTAGATGTGGTGGATTTGTTTTTTTAAGGCTTTTTCACTTGTGGATCCTGTCAGTAACACATTTCCTGTACTGTATCTATGGAGGAGCAGCATTGGCACTCTAGGACAGGATGTGTTAAGGCTACAGAGCACTCAACACTCTCCTCCTCGCCATAACATAGGATCGGTGGTGTTCTGTAGTCCTAACTAGAGATGAATTCAGGTTTGGACTGAACCCGGTCTCCTCAGTACCCAGAAGAAGCTCCTCCTGAACACGGAAGGTGGCTACTTCCATGCTGCCTGATCAACTGCTGGCAGGGAATTCCCCACTCCCAGCATGATGTAAGCAAAGGTGCAGGTTGCAGTGATGCCATTGACGATTATATGGCTACATGCCTGCATTTAATCATTTACATTAACCTGAGATGAATATGTGGCCATATAAGGTAAATGACCTTAGCACAAGCATCCCACCCCTTTGTTTTTTGTTTACATGCAGCTGCAGGATGGGGGTAACGCCTCAGCCACAGCTGATTGGGTACAAGTGCCCTTGTTCGGAGGAGCTTTAGTTCGGACCGGGTTTAGTCTCACCCGGCGCTCAGCCCTGCTTATAACATGTGTCCTCATGACTTTGTTTATAATAACACTGGTATTTTTTTTGCACATATTGAACACATTAACAAAACTTTTTCAATGGTACATTTGGTATATGCTATTTTTAAGAAACCAAAAGGGAACCCATTTTAGAAGTTTTGTTTGATTTACATATCTGTATCCCCTGTATATGGGTATATTTGTGATATATAGATTATGATTGTATGCCATCTGATACAGGCCACCTGATCTTTTGCCACTGTAAGATTAACACTTCTACTTTGTACAGTGGTTGTGTAGCAAGTGGAACAATAACTGCATACATGGGACCTTTGCAATTATGGTTCTGGTTATAGTGAATATTGATCATATGGGAGGTTGCTGGCACAATTGCAATCAAATTTTAGCATAAAGCCCTTTTTTTATATTCACAATTCAGTGTGTGTTAGGTGATCTCATATTATTCATATGAAGTAGTAACCCCCCGGACATGTTTGTGCAAAGCTTTTATTAGAATAGCTGAATAGAGGCAACAGGTTTGGTATGTCGGATGCTGGAAGATGCTGATTAGTGTGGTTTGTGTGGGGAATAAAAGAAGGAGAAAACCGTACAACATGTTAAAACCGAAGTGCGCATGACTTAAGGAGTAGGAGAACATCAGCCCCAGGCTGTGTCCTTGTCAGCTATTGGTATGTGTTGCTTCTGGTTTTCCTTCTGAAATCTGATATGGTGGCTTGCAGAGTGACTTTGCTGTAGAAGACATAGGGTGTAGCGAATGGCGGTGACGTCACATGACATTCTAGAGCTACTTCTCATATTTTCCCAGTCCGATTTTAGAAGGAAACCTTTCCATATATGGACAGCTTATACAGGTTAGTGAACAAGAGCTTAAACAAGTTTAAAGGCCCAACTCCAGCCAAAACAAGACTTTTAGTTTGGAATTGATCAGAGAAAGGTAAAACCTTAAACTTATAACTGCTATTGGTTACCTCATTTTGAATTATCCACCTGATCTTCCTTCCACTGTGCTGCTGGGGAAATAAATTAGGGGCACAAGTGTCAGCGAGACGGAAAGACACAGCATTAAAAAACATAGTTGCCAAGTCTCCTTCTTACTGGACAGTCTCGGTATTTGGGAACGTGACCCTCAGGACACCGTACACTTGGCACCAGGACAGAGTAGTAATGGAGTGGTGGGTACTGGAATACTTTCTGCATTCCTTTAGTCCCATTTGGCCAAAAAAATAAGGGGAAAAGAAGAGAAATGGTGTGCTATTTGCCAATATATGCAATAAGGCATCATTGGCCAGGCTGATCCCTGCAAAGCCCGAAGGGCGTGCACAGCTGAAAGTTTAAGTAAGGTTAATACCTAAAAAATTTTTGGTGTTTTTAGAGTTTCAAATTTTTGATTAACCTTAACTTTTTGCTTGCAGATGTTGAATAATGTTTTATTTTGACAGGTATATGTCCTTGGTGGTCAGTGTAAAGACTCCAGAGGAGATCTATGAGCAACAGGAAATTGCAGTACTTTTTTGTGAAACTGTTTCCAGGTGAGCACTTACCCTTTGCACAATGGTTTGGCAAGACTTTTAGTTTATGATGCAGATGTCAACTTTTACCATCTATATAGCATTTGAATCAAACTGCTGTTGAGCCATGTAGAGTACAACACTTGATGCAAGCCTTTTTATTAGCTAATTGGGAGTGTTTACTGTGATTACTGACCGGAAGGTGTGTGTGTGTACGTACAAAATTCCCCTAACTTGGAATCGGAGTCCCCATAGTCACCACACTTCCCCATGCATCGGTGGCTCAGGTGTGTGTATTTGTGGAGAAGGGAGAATGCACTGCTCTTGTGCGGATTTGTGGAGGATGATTGGGCACTGCGCATGTGAGGATTTGTGGATAGAGTGTGCATGTGCAGATTTGGGGACTAGCAATACAGCTGTTACAAGCTCACTCCTTTGATCATGGGGGCTATTGTGTAAAGGACTTTTACACTTTAGGCTGATCCCTGGTCCCAGAGGCTCTAAGACTGGTACCTGCCGCCTTATTCACCCTCCTCTGTGACAGTCAGAGGCCCACTGATGATAATCACATTTAATGCTGGGTCCAGAGCTCTACCTGAGGATGATGAGGGTCAGTGCATAAGTCTGAGCAGAGACGAGATAAGCAACAACCGCCAGGGAAGTGGGTAAATGTCTCTTACACAGCTCCCCTAGACAGAAAAGTAGCAGTTGACCCTTGCAGTGCGGGGCAGCCCTGCTGCAAGGGGAGTTTTTTCCATGGGGAGAGGCTTTAAAAAAAAGATGAAGTTCTATACATTGCACCATTATTTCTAAACTACTGTGGCTCCCTGACTGCACTGAAAATGTTATTCTAAAGGTACATGAACCCTTTAATATATTTCAGTGTTTTTTTTAAATTATTATTATTACCATTATAAAACTGCCAACCTTTGACCTCCCCGAAATGAAAAGATCAGTCCTCGATATTGATGGTTTATGAACACCTTCAGAGGATGAATGGCAATTATGACCATGGAGTCCAACCATAAAACAGGCTGTGAGCAGAAACGGGTAGTGATATTGCTGTATGCTCCACTCCTAGCAGAGCGAACAGCAGCCACTGGCAGCATGCCTCCTGCTAGGGATCTCCACCCCGACCTCTGTGCTTTTGCCACATTTATTATACTTTGTATCAGAGGCAGGGAGTACCTTCCTCCAGAATAGTCCTCTGCGGTTGGTTCTTAGGGGCCAGGGGCAGTCCCAGCAACTGACCGGCAGCAGCAGGGGTGGGTATGTGCCATGCCCTGGATATGCCATGGATTTGGAATCTGAACCTTTTCTCAATGTGTCTAGTTCTCATAACTTCCTGAAGCTATCAGATATGTGTGGTTTTCGTGGTAATCTATTGCAAGCTGTTTATTAAAAAGGCCACCAAAGGGGGAAGAAAACAGAGTATATTCATTTTGGAATAAGTCTCACAATGGCAGATTATTAGTGTGCAGGATCATTCCTGTAACCTTTATTTCTTTATGTGGAGAATAAAGATCTTTGATTTTTGATATAGGGCTTTGCAGCAAGGCTATTTAACCCAGGAAATGATTGACGACTGTGAGCCAGAACTGATGATTTCCATCCCACGCCTAGCAATTATCAGGTGAGATAAAACAGCAGTCAGTGCACACTTGTGATGTAAAGCTCAGCTGAATGTTGGAGGTGGGACTACATACAAAGCTATTCACAGTTTGGAAGACCAAGCGTCTGACGTCCATAGCACGCATTTAGTGTTTTGATGTTGTTGAATGCCAATGGCACCTGCCCATCCTTATGTGGATGGTGAGGTCCAGTAGCCACAAACACTGATGCAAAGATGTATTTTTCTTCTGCAGATCCATGCCTGTATTTTAGCTATGTGCTTGTTGCTAGGTTTTTATGTCTATTTATATTGAATGATGTATGCATTTGTGATTTGCCTGTAACACAGACTGTTTCTACCTTGTAGTGGGCTGCTGATATTTCCAGACGGACCCTTAAACCTGCAGAAAAGACCTGAGGAGATGTGTGAACTTTTCAGTCCCTTTCATGGATTACTGAAGAAAATCAGGTGAATAAAATATTGTCGAAATAGATGCACAGGAATATATATACTTATATATATACTTATATATA